AACTAAACTATTGTTTAGTTCACTACCAACATCCACGATTCTTTAATTAAATTTCTAGATTCCACCCACAATATATAACCATAATTCACTTTTCCACGCATACTATTATATTTTCGTTTTATTATTAATTCTTTCTCTTAGATCAAAATTTCAACTAAAGATGTAATTTCGATTAATTTACCTCATTTATTTTATGGCTGCATCTAACTTCACGTTAGACTGCTTACGTACCCTAAACAGGGATCAAGCCATTCATAGTTCGCCAATTCAAATTCAATCAAATTCCGAAATTCATACAAGTGACTAACAATCATCAACTAGCTTCAAACAAGTGAATCACACCAAATGCTTATCAAATTTGTTTCATAACATCAAAATTAGCTTAAAAATATGGCGTCGACTCACAGGCCATGTGCTGCTGCACGTGCCGCCGCCGGGGGTGGTCAGGCACCTCGATTTGTTGGAAAATTCAATTATTTTCAAAAATTACAAAATTTTACATGCAAGTATATCTTAGTGAAGGGAACAATTTTCATACTTGTGGCAAAGTCCAATTTGGCCGAGAAATGCCTCAATTTGCCACGAACCCGCCGGAACCCTAGAATTTGGATGTCCTCGATTCGACTCCATAGCAGCTCCAACGCCCCTATACTTGTTTGGGCTTTGTTCCTAGGTTCCAAATGAGTGTTTTGGTGGTGGTAATTAAAGGATTTTGCTTCAGGATTTGAGGGATGGCCGCCATGAACCCGTAGCCCCGCCATCGGGTTTTCACAAATTCACCCCCAAATTCATTTCTAATTTTGGGTGGGAATGGAAGAGGGAAGGCTAGGGAGTTGTTTCCAGGTGATGATTTGCCTCGATTTTCCATGAAACGTCGTGAATGGCGTAGATTTTTCATACCTCATTCGGGTCGGGTCGGGTCGGGTCGGCATCCCCGTTTTCTCCCCCTTTCTTCTTCTTTCATTTCCCCTTATTTCCCCCTTTCTGATTGGGCCATCCATCCTCTCTTTTCCCTCCTTTCTCTCCTTTCTCTCCTCTCATTTTCATCTCAGCCGTCCACGCGGCTCAATGGGATTGCTCCAGAAATTGGAGCCTTCTAGAGTGAATATTAAATTTACAAAAATATCTCTAACTTCAAACGTTAATAACTATTTCATTATAATTCTGTTTCACAAACGGTTTACACCTACACACTCGTGAGGTCGAGCTCTATCCAAATATATCAAGAAATACGATAAAATATATGAGGATAGAATATGTCCTTATATAATTACGTTAAACCAAATAGGTTTTTTTCGTCATCTTCCTCTTATCTTTAAATTTTATGACGTAAATTATATAAATTTCAGGAAACAAAACTTTAAAAATCTCAATTCAAATTTCCATACCCATAAATCAATTTATTTTCGGTTTTTCTCCACATATTCATATATTTAAATTTTTAGGGTATTACAGAAATCAAGTGATTCAAAAATGAAAATCATACTTCTTGACGAGAAAAAAAAAAGAATGGTACTTGTCTCGACGACTAACTCGTCATGATTTGGCCGGAAAACAGTTCAAAAGTGGATGTCTTGGTCTTGAGTTAGCCTCTTTTGAGCCCTTTTCAGCCAAACCATGGTGAATTAGCCATTGAGAAAGGTACCATTCTCTTTGTCTTGTTGATAAGTATGATTTTCGTTTTTGAATCACTCGATTTCGTTGAGTATTGAAGAAGTTATGAACGTTTAAAGTTTACCCAGTTTCAGGCGAGTTTTCCAGTTTTTTCTAGTCATCTCTAGCAACCATTGGGCTTACAAATAGGTATAATCTTGTTCTACGCTTTCCTATCTTCATTTTGATATATTATAGGTTGAATTTGGTTAAGAAACAATTGAGTTACAAAGCTTTGAAAATTGCCTAAACTTTCGGCAAAGAGTTCTGAGACACTTAGCGGAGTTTTTAAGGGAATGACCAAAATAATGGATGGTGGATAATCTCAGAAACCATGTATATTGATTTTCAATCCCAGGGACCAAAGTGATGTGTTATGCAAATTCCAATAACCATTTTAGCTAAAAAATCTATATTCATTAAGTGAGTCACACACTTAGGAGTTAAATACAATGAATAACGTTGGATACAAGAAGGTTGGTGGGCAAGGTGTAAACTAAAATAAACTTTATGAAAAAATCTAAATTATTTTAAATTGTCTTCATTTTTAATATTTTGTTTTCGTTCATTCTTCTTTGCTTATTTCTCTCATATACTTTCTTATATTTCAAGAACAAAACCATAAACCAAACACAAAAATGAAATGTTCATGTAACAAACCATATCTCAACTTCAAATTCCTCATTCTCATTAACAAAGGAAAACAAAAAATTCAAAAATAAAATAGTTTAGAAGGTTTGAGATTGTACTTTTGGTATCGTTTGGTATGCAGACGAGACAGGACGGAACGGAATGAGACGGGACAAGACGGGACGGAACGGAGATGGAGCAAAGATGCCCTCAGATGGAAACAAGGAGAAAGAAGAAGGAGACAGAGAGGCTATAATTTTGTGCTCCACGGCTGTGGAACGAGTCGTTTCAGAGGGGTAAGGTGGAACAAAAATTTACCCAAAATTCGTCCCATGGAACAACTCGTTCCACCCGTTTTAGGCGCACCAAACGTAGGATGGAACGTCTTGTGCCACTCTGTTCCGTCATGTCCCACGTAGCAAACGGTACCTTTAGGAACGTTGCGATTCCACTACAACAATGGATAGGATCTTGTGCGACACATTTCTTTAACTTCACTTTTTATAGGGTTTTTTATATGACCAATGAAGGAGAATATTGTAAGAGAAACTGATTGGAAACTTCCCAAAAGTATTTGAATATGAATATAATATTAAAAGGCAAAATGCTTTGTTAGAGCATCGAAGCAAACAATATGCTTATTAGCAACGGTTATATTTTCATTCATTTAATGAGGTCTACTTATTGACCAAAAAAATTAAGGTCTATTTATAAATTATTGAAAACTACTTGGCTCTTTGTACGGATTCAAATCTTCTGCACTCGTTTTATGGAATGTGACTGGAACACGATATGATACATCATATGTTATTATACAAATGGTGTGATTAGGGATGGGCAATGGTTATGGCGGGCGAGTAACCGCGGTTAATTTACCCATAACCGTTTATACTCATACCCGCGCAACCGTTTACCCGTTGAGTAATTGCCTAAACCGTTATACCCATACCCATAACTGTTTATAAACGGTTAACCATACACATAACCGCATACCCATTTAACTTTAACCGTTTAATACCCGTTTACCCATTTATCCTTTTTAACTCGTTTATCTTTTTTTTTTTACCATTACCCTTTTTTCACCCGTCTACATGTTTTTTAACAACTTGAAAATTAAAAAAAAAAATTGTCATAATTTTTTTTTGACAATTAACACCGTTATAGGTACATTCATCGTACATTTCCATATTTTAATTTTTTAAGTCCTTAAACCATTCCAATAATTGAAATAATAGTTTACGGACGTTATTTTTAACTGTTACCAATGAAGGTAAATATAATATTTGCTAAGTATTATTGGGTTACAAAAATTGTTTAGAAGACATTTCTGTCAAAGCATTTCTTTCAATTTTACGGTTACCCGCAATGAATTTAAATTAATTTGGCCAATTCCTTGATGATGAGAATCATCATTCCTGTAGTAGTGTTATTGAGAAAATGACCGATGAATTCCTTGCTAATTTATTGGGTGCTAAGTATTATTGGATCGATAACATGGTTTTTGTTAGTTTTACATATATAAAATAAATGGGTAAACGGTTACCCGTTTGTAACCGCGGTTAATACCCATAACCGCGAATTTAAATTTCACGGGTAAACGGTTATACCTATAACCGTTTATTTATCTAAACGGTTACTCATAATCGTAACCGTTTAATTTAAATGGGCGGGTAACCGCGGTTACCCATCCCTAGGTGTGATATGTGTGTTAAAAAGTTAATAACTTAAAAAAATACAATTTTTCACTAGTTATATAAAAACACGTGGTGTACCACCCATGTTCCGGTCACAATGATTTTTTTTCCATTTTGTGTGTGACCTTTATTATTGATTAACGTGTGTTGAGTTTATGATAGCAAAATTAAAAATCATTTTTTGTGTGGCTTCTATCATTGATTGATATGAGTTAAGTTTATGACAACAAAGTTAAAAAGAGTTAAAATTATTAACATGTATAAATCAATAATAGAGGTCACGAAGATGCCACATACAAATGGGCATAGAAAAATTTAATCTTCTCTGTACGTAAGGAGTTATTTCTCATTTTATAACAACGTGACTTCATTTTACTTTTAAAATATTATAATTCACATTGTTGCTCTTTATCATCATTTAAATATCATTTATAGAAGATTCATTTAATTTTGAGATCATGTAGCCATTTATGTTTTTAAAAAAAAGACAATTATGGTAAAAGTATTCTTTTGACCGTCACTTTGTTTTTTTTTTGTTTCATATAGATGATTAAACAATCACTAAGTCGAAAGAAATTTCATACAAAAAGATCTTCAAATATGATTTTATGCGGTAAAATAATATCCCATCGTCATGTCAAAAGGCTTGACACCTTACATATAAGAAGCCAAATAGTGTCATAGTTTCTAAATTACCTAGGACTAGTTTGATAATGCTCTAAAAATCACCGAAAACATTTTTGATGAAAATATTTTGAAGGCCAATCTTTAATAAAATCCTAATTGGATTCCGGAAAAACACTTTAAATGATTCTTCCAAAAAGCAAATATCTGGTGTTTGTTTCAAAAAATACTAAAAACGCTTTTAGAATTCAAAATTAATTTCATCAAAAACATTTTCAGTTATTTTAAAAACATCTCCAAGAACGGCCCGTTGAATACTCCTGGAAAAAAAAGCATGTGAAGTGTAACGGTCACCTAACGTTCACTTGCAAGAAATCTCATTTTTACTCCTCAGAAAGTCTTCTGCTTCCTTAGTCTTCATAGGCAGCAACAAAGCAAGGCACATATTCCTAACCTCCCTTCCCTGCAACTCCTCTCCCATATGTTCTTCCTTTTTTTCCTTCTTAATCGAAAGCAGACACAGTGCATAGTTTCACTCTCACTGCTCTTTACTTAAAAGTTGCATCTCTCTTTTGCCCTTTGTTTTCCACTATATTTACTGGCCTTGCCTTGAAGAACAAAGGAAGAGTAGATGTTGTTATGGGCAGCCTCTTCTCATTTTTCAAACACAAGCAGAACAACAGCCGTGGAGTTTCAAGAAGTATCTCCGGTAGCACCGCCGGCAGCAATCACAGCGTAACTGGAAGAACGCCGTCGTATGATCCAAAGATGTTCAGAAAACGGAGCACAAATGATTCAAGTGGAAGCAAAGCAAAGAGCGGTACAGAGAAGAACCTCTCCACCCAGAAGAAGGAGAAGTACGCTTATATTCCTGATAACTTCACATCCATTGAACAGGTCTGTCTGTCTCTAATAATTTTGTCTGAAATTAAGCAGAGAGCATATGAAAATTTTCCTTTTTATTCAAGTGCATGAAAATTAATCATTAATTTCACCTAAAATTTAGGGAATATCTGTTTTAATCAGAGGATTGTTTCTTCTCTCCTTTAACCGTCCAAGGTTTTGTTTTGGATAGAATTTTGTTTTTGTTCTTCTTCTCCTCTAACTATCCTTCGTAATTGGTAATTGACCAAAAATCTTTGGTCTTGTTCTAAGGGTTACTATGGACTTTTCAACATAAAACGTACAATGAGTCAATGACCATGTAAGCCTGTAAGTCAAAACCATCACCAATGGTGTTAGTGGTTGATGATTAATTTCAAATCAGTATTCTTAAATAGTATGTTATGAGTTGGATTCAATCACATGATGGTAGTTAGAGGGATACTGAAATAACCTTAGGATTTGGATCCTTGTCGGATCCTTTTCTTGAAGATCCTAAAGATCAACGAACACGGACTGTTGATAAAAAATCGTGCGGTCCCAATTAAATGCTTTTTATATTTTTAAAAATAAAACAGTATCATTTTACGTAAAAAATATAAAAAAATGAAAAAATTGTCACCGCATAGTTTTTTATCAACGGTCCGTGTTCATTGATCTTTAAAATCCTTAGGAAGGGGATCCAGCGAGGATCCAAACCCATGACTTTATGAGTCTTCTCAACTTTCAAAAGATGAACTGCAATGGTGATGAAATCACCAATTAGTCCTTTTTTTTTCTTTTTCTTTTTTTTTTTCGAAAAAAACATCCTCTAAATCAAAATTAACCATTTTTTTCCTTTCCGATTAATTGACTTTCAATGATGGCTCTAGACCAATTTACACGACTATTCGAGTACAGTTTAGACTAGAATTAAGAGTAACAAGTACCACTACCTACCACTAGACTGAAAACTAATTGGTTAGCTACATCTTTCAACACCATTTATGGTCGTTGGAGTTGGATCTGGAGCAATTCAAATGACTAAGATCCAAAACCATTCGATGATCTCAAAGACATGACATCATTATTGAACGTTTCTGTTCTCATAATGGCTTTTGGGAATATGTTATTGGATGAGCTCAAAGTGGAATCCAGATCCTCTCCGGATCTAACAAAATTGAACCTAAATATCAAATGATTCGGATAATTAAAATTTGATCAAACGACTATAATTATTATAATTTTTAGAAATGCCTTAACTTTGTAACTATTTGATCAAATTTCAATGATACGGATCATTTGATTCTTAAGCTTAATTTTTTACATCCGAAAAGGATCTGGGTCCCTCAAAGTGTGCCCCTTTTTTCTGTTGATATAATATTGGTACACTTGCTTTAAACATACTTTACCACATGGGTTCCACTAAAATAATTATGTTTTTTTTTATTTCATTAATTAAAGAGTAGGACCTACCTTTTAATTATTGGTCCTAACTTCTGGGATAGGAATAGTATCCTCTCTGTAGATTCCTTTGGTCCGGATCTTCCAGATCCTCCCCCAACACGGGTTTTCTCCTTCCTCCTCTGCGGTTCTGCTTCTTCAAATTTTCTTCTTCTTTCTTCTCGGTGATTCTGCCGCGTCTTTTTCAATTCTTCTCTGGGGCCGTCGTCTCCTCTGACATTCGCCCCTTCTCAACCGTCCCGCCGTCTCGAGGCGGAGGATCCAAGGCTGCCACTGCCATCGCAACTTCTCACTTGGATAGCGTCAAGGTCGTCTGATCGTGCCATCAAAAAAACTGTTCTGTAACATTTTTTTTTTATAGTTTTGAGTGAAAAAGAAGCCAAAAAAACACAATGCTACGAAACTCAGTTTGAAAAATCAGTTTTTTTTCACATATTTTTTACATAAAAATTTATCAAACACTATAATACTATTTTTTTTTTCAAAAGCATTTCTACAAAAAAAATTACCAACACTCTATTATTTTTTTTTCATAGTACAATAGAATCAATTTTTTTTTTAAAACACAACAATACCAAACCAAACTTTAATTCTATCAACTTAATTAAACTCGTACATTGATAGCACGATATTTTAGTACCACTAAAAAATCCAAATGAATATCCACTCATTTAGTGGAGTTGTTGTCAGTCCTCCATAGTGCTGACTTGGAGAGTCTATAACTTATTCAAACAAGTTTGGAGGTTTGGATGGTGCTTTGAGTTGTATTCCAAACTTATTCCTCTTAGTCCTATCCAATTCTAAATCATCACAAAAAATAAATGATTTTATTTTTCATTGAGTGGTTAATTTCAATTTATTTAATTAACCATGGCCCAAGCAGCTATCACCATGTCAATTATTAGAGAAATTTTTTATTGTGACGATAACAAAAGTGATACATCACGTGTTTTAATAGAAGTGGAGGAAAATTTTATTTTTTAAGTTATTAACTTTTTAGCATATATATTCTACTATTTGTATAATAACACGTGATATACCACTCTGTGTACCGTTCATACTAAAAAAATCTCTTCAATTATTAATCATGCATGTTGCACGCATCCTTCTTTCTTTTGCATTAGTGACGTGTGAACGCGTCTCTTTGAAGAATTAAGAATCTTATTTTTAAGGCACACAATGGCATATTGGATTTCTTTAGCTTAGCCAATGGGGCAGTGTCAGCACATTGACCACAAGCAAAGGCAGTGGGGATAGAGATCCACTCCGGATCTCGCTGTTCGGAGTCTGGGGATCAGACAATTCGGACCGTTCAAATTTAATTTAACGGTCTCCATTAATTTATTTAGCCGGCTTACCTTACACAAACCAAAGCCTCCGATCTCTCTTTTCCACAAATTATGGGCCCCGATTTTCTGGTCCTTGGCTCTAGATAGTAAGGTTCGGAGAGGTGGTCCCACAACCTTACTGCTTGGATATTTTAGCGTACTGCTGAAACACAAGTCGGTACATCACGTATTTTGATATAAATGGCTGAGAGTATATTTTTGAGTGTTCCTCCACTTGTTTCATGATCATGATTATGACATGCGATGTACCTCCTTGTGTTTCCGGAACACTTAAAAATCTCTCATGCTTATCTTTGCGAATACGACTATGCGATTATGCGTCTATCTCCCTCGTTGTATGATGTGTAACAACTGAAAAAAATAAAATATGAACATCTTTAACATTGTAAAAAATGAATACAATTGATTCATTTTGCAGGTTACTGATGCCTTGAGGAGAGAAGGTTTAGAGTCATCTAATCTCATTGTCGGAATCGACTTCACCAAGAGCAACGAATGGACAGGTTCACGGACGAAAACTAAAACTGCAATGGCCTTCATATACATACACTTTCATGCATCATGTATTTTGTGTATGGACATCTTTGAAGCTGATGATTTGTTGTTGTTGTTGTTGCTACTGCAGGGAAAACTTCATTCAAAAACAGGAGCCTGCACGCCATTGGCGATGAACCTAATCCATACGAGAAAGCAATCTCCATTGTCGGAAAAACTCTAGCTCCATTTGATGAAGACAACCTAATTCCTTGTTTCGGCTTTGGTGATGGTAGGGGCCTCTGGTTTGAAGCTCTGGACTATTTTCTTTCGTTTCATGTTTTTTTATCACTGCAATGACTTTGCCTCCCTCCCAATTATTTTCTAGGTACCACTCATGACGAAGGGGTGTTCAGCTTTCACACCGATCATTCTCCCTGCCATGGCTTCGAAGAAGTTTTGGCCTGCTACAAAAGAATAGTTCCAAATTTGCGACTTTCGGGTTGGTGCAATCTTATGTTTTTGTGTTATAATTTAGAATATCATTAGGGTCAGAGATTTATAGACATATTTTGTGTTTAAGGGCCAACTTCTTATGGACCTGTAATTGAAGCTGCAATGGATATTGTGGAGAAAAGTGGGGGGCAATACCATGTCTTAGTTATCATTGCAGATGGCCAGGTTTATATCTGATGCTCTCTCTCTCTCTCTCTCTCTCTCCCTCTCCCTCTCCCTCGACTAAGTACGAGTTTCTTAATTGTAAAGGTCACGAGAAGCATCAATACTAGCGACAAAGAATTGAGTCCACAGGAGGAGAAGACGATCAAATCAATTGCAGATGCAAGGTAGAACATGGAATTTGTCATTTCCTTTGTTTTATATGTATATCCATGCAATGCAAGAGTTTTAAGGATATCAATGCAATTGAAAACTTATGTGAGCAGTTTCTATCCACTCTCGATTATTCTTGTTGGAGTCGGCGATGGTCCCTGGGAAGACATGAGGAAGTTCGATGACAAGATCCCTTCACGCGATTTTGATAATTTTCAGGTATTATAATCTATATACCACTAACTTAACTGTCAATGCAGAAATTTTAAGCAGACATTAGTTCACCAACTAGTTTGTTTTCGTGTAGTTTGTTAACTTTACCGAAATTATGTCTAAGCGCGCGACTTCCACTGAGAAAGAAGCTGCATTTGCTCTGGCTGCCCTCATGGAAATCCCAATCCAGTATAAGGCAGCTATTGAACTCAGTTTACTTGGGTATGGTTAGCATAAACATCATTTTGATTGGAATAGCTACGAGCACGCGTATGCTTACTAATATAAGTTTTATTGTACCTGGAAAAAGACGCACGGCAGGGAACGGCAACAGAATTGTTCCACGCCCTCCACCAGCTCCTTACTCTCCTCGTGCACTGCCAACTCGCGAACCAAGTGGTCTTTCAGCACCTGGGGGTGATGAACGAAGCGAGCTGGTATATTTTCTTGTAACTTTTTCAATTGCTGTACGTAGATGACCAAAGCAAAATGTCGTTGAGCTCCTTACAAATTCGGATTACTGATTTTGTTTCCTGCTTTTCAATTTGAATGCAGGTCTGTCCAATCTGCCTAACTAATCCAAAGGACCTAGCCTTTGGCTGTGGACATATGGTGAGCTGCACTAGCACAACCATTTGTCTTTGTTCCTTCCTATTTTACATGGCACTAACAGTTATTTCATTGCAGTCCTGCAGAGACTGTGGACCGAGATTGTCCGCCTGTCCAATTTGCCGCCAGCCAATCCGCAGCCGTCTCAGGGTTTTCGCTGGATAACCGAACGAATCCTGGATAACCGCACAAAAGGATTCGTTCGTTGTTTATCAGATTGTGTATATATAGCTTTTAGAGATTGTCTGCCTTCCGTCAGTGACACCCGGGTGTTGAATTGCACCAGATCGCACAGCCCTGCTTTCTAACTCTAATGTGTAATGCTGCTTTATTTTTAATCATCTGTAAGATGTTTGGTTTGCTTAAAATCATCAGAACTCGTGAGTTGTGCTTCTTCTTTCAACTTTTGCGAATTAGCGAGAAAATTGATGGAGTTATAATTCGTTCAATTTGCTGAAGAATCAAGTTAATACGCAAATGAAAAGCGTAAACTTCCTAGAACAAAATGTATTAGGTCAATAATCCAGAGCAATTGCTCTAACAGTGACAATGTTGACTATCCGTAAGCTTATCAAATTGTATAACTCGTCTGGGATACGACAATCACTTTAAACCATCACTGTTTCAGTGTTTCTTCTTCCATTATCCTATCCAGTCTCTGCAATGTGTTGAAAATTTGGTCTGTATACGGGTGAGATTCATCATCTGCTCCAAATCTGTGATACATACATTCCACCTCGATCGAACTACTTCCAGTTGGTTTCTTGACGTTGTTGTCTCTCAGTAGCTTCCTCACTCTACCAGCATCCTCCCATCTACCTGCATCTTCATACATGCTGGCCAGAAGAATATACCTCCCAGCATTTTCAGGGTCCAAAACAAACAACTTTTCTGCAGCTTTTTCGGCGAGTTCTATGTTATTATGTATTCTACAAGCTCCCAGTAAGGCCCCATATACATCTTTACCTGCCTCCATGGGCATGGTTCTGATAAGTTCAACCGCCTGGTCAAGTAAACCAGCTCTTCCCAGAAGGTCGACCACACAAGCATAATGTTTCTTGCTTTTCGCTACTCCATATTCTCCCATTTTCTCAAAAAGTTCCAAGCCTTTTGTGATGAACCCCGAGTGACTACAAGTGGACAGCAAACACAAAAATACAATACCATCCGGGCGTAAGCCAGACTCCGCAAACTGTGAAAACATTTGGAGTGCCTCATCTGCATGCCCATGCATTCCATGACACCGCATCATTGCACTCCACGCCCCCACATTTTTCTCACTGATTTGATCAAAAATAACTCTGGCAGTGGTTACGCGACCACAATTTGCGTACATTGTAATGAGAGCGCTGCCTAAAACAGCGTCTACTTTCATACTTGACTTTATAATGAAAGAATGAATCCAAAAGCCAACTTCGATAGCTGATGCTTCAACACAAGCCGGAAGAATGCACACAAGAGTGGCATGGTCAGGCAAGGATGCAGCATGATCTTGCAGCATGGTGTGGAAAAGCATTAGAGCCTCGTGAGGATTTCCATTTGCCGTATACCCTGAAATCATGGAATTCCAACTTACAGAATCTTTCCCAGGTATTTCATCAAACACTCTTCTCGATATCTCAATCTCCTCACACTTGGAATACAAGGCAATAAGAGCATTCCCAACAAACAAATCCGAGTCGAGTCCACATTTCACGACATGTCCATGAACAATCCGACCTCGTTTTCCATCTCTCATTGCACCACAAGCCTTGAGCACAAAAGGGTAGGTGTACCTATTTGCAGGCACACCACTCAACCGCATTCTATCATACACATTGAGTGCTTCAACAAAAGGACCCACATTCGCATAACCCTGAATAACCATGTTCCACACAAAAACATCTCTCTCGAGCAATCTATCAAACACCTTCCGTGCAGCTTCCATGCTTGATTCACTGCACTCAACATACTTGCCAACTAGCTTTGCAACGACAAATGGGTTTTGCTCAAAACCTCCAGTGGTTATCTGGGCATGGAGTTTTTTGATCGATTTGGTGCTTTTACAGTGTTGCAGCAAGTAGGTATAGTGATAAGAGTCTCTGCAATGAAGTGTCGTGTATGTTCTGCCACCAATGAAAAACCCTAATAATCTGAAGGGTTCCTTCCATGAAATTAAAACCTCCGCTTGTCTGGCTAAACCATTTATCTGGGTCTTGAGTAGCAGCACCATTACAGAAGGTACAGGAAATTACCAAGATGCTACCATTGCAGTAGTCTATCTGTGTCAATGGCAATACAAGCTCACAAATTGTTAATGGAATGCCAAAGGGAATGAATTCTGCTTCATTGCCCTGTAGTCCAACCCCCAATAAGCAATTCTAATATTTAATTCAAGAAGTAAGGTTGCATGAGAATTTTTATCGTTCTATTTTAGACACTACTTGACTCCTTACATGTAAAGAGTCATTCTTTCTTACACGACGACCTAACATCACTCATTATACAAATATCATAATCTGAACCATTCATTTTCTTTATCATCATCTAAAGATCATCTCTAGAAAAGTTCATTTTGTTTAGAGATCGTTTAGTCATTCATATATGTCAAACAAATTGACGGTTATGAACCATCTACTTGTTCAATTTATCCGAATGGTTGAACGGTCTTTAATTGAATGAAACATTCTACTGACTTTTAGATTATGATAAAAAAAAATGGTTTGAATTATGATAATAATTTCTTCCACTTCAAGTCTAATTAAGTTTTTTTATTTGTATTGAATTTGAATGAGGTCCTCTAGTTATTGCTACTACAAGCGCACACATTCTATGGTCGAAGGCACTTTTTCTTTAAGCTATCGTATGGCGTGGCATCTTCCGATCACTTCATCTTCGACTTCTTCGATGGCGAGGCCTAAACCCACTCCGGCAGATCAAGTACATGACATGTTCAACGACACAACTACGGGCTCGATACACTGCTACTTCTGCTACCTTCAGCTGGTGATGGGGGGCATTTGGCAGCTTTCTCAATCTCTCTTGTTTCCCTGCTTACAATAGAGTGTCACAGTTTCACTCATGTTACAAATATCAATTTTATCGTCCACCCATATTCTAGCAGCGAAAGAGTTGCATCAAAGTCATCCTCCCTCGTTCGACCAAAAAAAAAAAAAAAAAACCATCCTTTGCTCACTCCGTTGATAAGAGATACCATCAATTAAAAGTGTTTGCACCAGCACCAGAAGCCCCCAGTTCAGCTTTGCCATCCCAATATCGCTTGTATAAAAATAAAAATGCAATTTAGAATTACACAGGATCACTCAAAACTAGGTAGTAACTTAATATGGCACTAACCGCGCGTTTGGAAACACTCCACAATATTTTCTCATATTCCAAACCGTTCATGATCTTCATTCACAGTTTATCCTTACAAAATTTCGTCTAAATCGCAAAGCGTTTCAATATCTAATTGTGACAAAAATCAAATATCTAAAGTGGAAAGCGTCTTAATATTCATTTAAAAAGCAGACACATCCCACAAATTTGTGCATAAGTATAACATCAAAAACGCAAAAACCCATCATCCATGTAGTTGTTCTGAAGAAATGTACAGATACCCCTGACAGCATAACTCCATCTACTTCTGTTCTTTCTCAGATTCAGTATTGCTTGGCTTCGGAATTGGTTGAATTCTCACATATGGATTCCTAGTCAATGTCTCTCCTTTCAGTGCAGCAACATAGCGGTCGTTTGTGTTCTCCTTTCGCTGCAACTCCCCAAGGAATTCTGCCAATCTTTCTTTATTTACTTGCCCCATCCTCTGATTCACAATTTCAAGCAAAAAACTGTCAGCATTTGCGGTGATTCAGAGTACGAAACCGTTTCAAGAACAACCCGAAATTGAAATCCATTTGAAATAAATAAGTTAGCTTAGCTTTCGATAACAAGATGTTATAAAACTTATTATCAGCAACAATGATGATGCTGTTGATACTAACATGAGATTTCTTCACTTTTTCCGATCCAATAGGGATCAGTACCGAATGCCTTTGTAATAGGTGAGACACGAACGAGCAATGGTTCCTCAACAAGATTTGATTTGATTTATTCACTGTTTCTGATGAATTAAGCTAATGGGAAGAATATGTAAAATAAGGTAAATGTTGGAACCGAGACCAACTTAGAGGGGTTATCGACGAGCAATCATCTGTTCTAGAGCCGAATGAGGAAAAATGGAAGCAAAACTTGCCTCAAGACTTCCAATACGCTTCACGATCACACCGAATTTTAACAAAGTGTAAACAATAAAGTAAAAGGCAAGGTCCTACAAATTTTGTGAGGCACAATCTTAGCAAAACAACCTTGTTATAGATATTGGAGAAGCAAAACTACTTGGTTGAGTTGGTTCCATATCATCAAACACCACAATTTTTCGACATTCTAGCATATGGATGTATGTGCTTCTTGCGGGAAGCGCTTTAAGAAAGTAAAAACATTTTTTCTAAAAGCACTATCAGTCATTTTAAAGGCATTTCCAAACGAGCCCGTACATGTGTTGTAAACTCGTGAATGAAAATTAATCAACCGGATGTATATCCTTTACCTAAAGTAGTTTGAAGCTTACACACATTGGTTTCAACACACCAAAATTTTCAGGTCACTTCATAGACGAAGACGGTTCATTTTATCAAACACATTACTCATATAACATATTACAACTTCATGAACAAGTCAAGATTGCAGCTTTGAATTTGCATCAAACAAGAACAATCCACACAAACCTAATCATCAATTTGATCACCTAACTTCCTCGCGATTCGAAACGGGGTTCGTCTAATACTCCACAAATTAACAATTTTTGCGGAATTACAAGCAAAACCCATTTCTTAAAACCGAATATAATTTCAGAAAACCATGGAGTTTAACAGAAACGCACCATGGATTCGGGTCGGGCGTTGCGGCGGAGCTCGGCCTCCAGCTGTTGGTTTCCGGAGTTGGTCGTCTGCATAACGAAGTAACCAATAACGCCCGGAACGACGCCGCAGACGGTGGCGAAGGCCAAGAAGAAGGGCGTCGAGTCACGGGTCTTGTTCACTATCCACCTCCACAGCATCGGCATTCTCGACTTGAAGCTCGTCGGTCCGTCTCTTTTGCCTTCTCTGGTTTTCGGTTCGTTTTTCTTCTGTTCAGGTTGGATTGGGCTCTTATTGGACTTGACACGTGTCTTTCTTCCGTGGACTAAAGACTTAGTACGTGGTCTCTTTAGCTGGACTGAGGTGTCACAAGTGTCTGAACCTTTACTCTGTACGGCCCATTGGTTTCGGCCCAATGACAATGCTTTTCTTACAATTTTTGAGGTGGTTTTTGGCGGTGAGTATTTATCCGACCCAACTGGCTAGACCAGCCTATTCGAATTGTATGTGAATAGTTTGACCAAAGATACAAAGAAAAATTAATGAAAATAACTTGAAAATTTTTATTTTTAATGATAAGGTAAATTGAATAGTATCATGACTGACGTTTTAGTGTAAAAATGTGATTCTTTGTTAAAATGAACAGTACCGGAAACTTTTCGTTAAAGTTCGCAAGATACAAAGATACATTCAAACAACCTATAATACCAAGGGCTGGTTGGTATTGCTGTGCTTTGAAAAAAAACTGCTTTTGCTGTGCTGTGAGAATAAGCGGCTGTGAAATAAAGCTGTAGAGTGTTTGGTAAACGTTTTTGTAAAAATGCTTTTGAAAAAAAAAACAGTATTATAGTGTTTGGTAAACTTTTATGTAAAACAAATGTGAAAAAAAGCCGATTTTTCAAAGCTGGGTTTTGCAGCTTCTTGTTTTTAGCTTTTTTTCACCCAAAATTGTGAAAAAAAACTGAAGCTGAATGTTTACCAAACACAAAAAAGCTCCCAGCTTTTTTTTATACGAACTTTTTTCAGAATCACTTCAGTACCAAATCAGGCCTAAGATGCACATATAGTATTGTCGAAGTCAAATGCGTGCAACTCAAAACCATCAATCTTTAGGTACGGTCTAATATCTTAGTGGATAGGATGTTAACCTTCTACAGTTCTTCTACCTATGGGTTTAGGATACGAACTCCCCCCTCTCTTTAATAATCCTGAAATAAAACTAAAAAAAAAAACCATGAATCCCTATTAATTGATAGATTGGAATTAAACATGAACACTAGCAAAGAGTCATCAAAACCTGCGTCACTTTATTAGTTTAAGTTAGATGATTAACTACTTTATTAGTATAACTAATTAACTACTTATCTGGTGGTTTACACTTTTATTCCAATTGGTAAGGAAAGAAAACTGAAAATCAAACCCCCTTGGTCTTAGTTGCGGCTGCAAAAGTGCAGACCACCACCATGTCTCGGTGTTTGAGATTGAGTTGATCCAACTTTAACCCTTCAACTTCAAGTTGTTAGATAGGCATGAGTAGTTTAGGTCAGAAAACTAAAGCTGTTTTCATGCGGTTACCAAATGACAGATGTGGCCTCCCAGAAGGGGCAGAGAACCCACTTGAAAGATACATCCCCAACAATTTTTCAATGTGATCGGTACACGAAGTGGTACACCACATGTTGCTATACAAATGATAGGATATATGTGTTAAAAAGTTAATAACTTTAAAAATAAAATTTTCACCACTAATATAAAAACACATGATGTACCCCCTTAGATTCCGATCACTATAAAAAAATTTCACACTAGAAGGAAAAATAAGAATCTAATTAAACATTTGTCTTTTCTGCACAAAATAAAATGATGTCGATAGAGATAGATAGAGAGATATAGACACAGAGGACATTTGAGAATCTTTTGTAATTGTTCAAAGCCAACCTTCTCTCTCTATTCTCTCTACAGTCTTCCACAAGCGCCCACAACATCCCCACCACCATTCCCCTCTTTGCTTTGCTTTATCTCTTACCCTTATGTAAGATCATCATCGTGTGAAAGGTTGCATGGCTTTAGAACCATTTAAAAATCCACCTCTCTCTCTCTCTCTCTCTCTCTCTCTCTTTGTGTGTGTGTTTAATATTGAGTGACTAAAATACATGTTAGGAAAGTGGTTTACAAATTTAATATTGACTGAGAGTTAGAGTTTGAATCATGGTTATTATTTTATTTCATAGTATTGCGAAGGACGGTTGGCAAATACCACAAAAAAGTAATTCTTTGCAAAGACCTTATAACCCTCTAGCTCCCTCCCTTAATTAATCTCTATCTAAATGTAATTGGTTATGTACAACTCATTTGTTGTTGTGGTTGAGGTGTAAAAGCCATAAAGCCATTTAAAGAAAGAAAAACAAATATAAAGGCCTGTTTTTCTGTAATCATGACCATATAAGTTCACTTCTCAACCTAAGAATTACTGTTAAATTAAGAAATCAATGCTAACACTTTAAGCTTTGCACATATTCCTAGTTCTCGCTTAATTTGTTGAATACATAATCACATCTCTCATAACTAAGTTTTGCACATACGTGAAGAATATGGTCAATAAATGTGGCGGATTTAGCATTTTACCTTAGATCGATCGAAAGCCAAAATTTTACACCATCATCTTATACTAAGGTCAACTTTCATTCATGCTCGACGAGTGAGTCTTGCAATCTAGCTCCCTCATGCATTTGCACTTGAGGGCATGTGAACAACTCTCTCGTCACCTTTTTGGCTAAAAGCATGTGTATATACAAAATAATTATACATAGGGTTTAAGACGACTTCATTCCTTATGATAAGTTATAAATATCATATCTAAGGCTACTCTATAATGTATTTTAATGATTGGAGTCCCCAAAAAATGATATCCGAATTCAAAATTGTTTGGTCATCTATGCTAAAAAACGCGGTTCATTGTGGATAATAAAAAATTGAATGGATAATCCTTGACAGAAAACAAAAAATTGAATGTTCTGATTGTTGAATCACATCCTAAAAAAAAGAAAGATATTGAATACCATAAGGGGGATAGGGTTCCACCAATATACTCAATATGTCTTCTATATTACTGATATCCTGTAAATATTGTGTTGATATAGGATGTTGGCCGGGTACCAAATGGGTGCGGAAATATCTCATGACATGTTGTCGTTATGGTTCAGTGATGTCCCAATACATTATCACAACATGTTGTCCAGAATCTCACTTCGTGAGTAGGAAAGCGAGATCACCCTTAAAAAGGAGCTTATACATCACTTAATGGGAAAGAATAGAATCCTATCCATGACCTAAACCTAATTAAGTTTATTATGAATAGTATAATTTCATTGATATACACAACAAGAAGATACAACCATTATATGTAGTTGTGGGTGCAAGTGGTCCTCTACCACAGTGGTTAAGAGGGTGTTGCCCTTGCACCACCGCATGGGTTTGAACCTCGTTAGTTCCCTAATCTAACAAGTTTGTCATTTGACAAAAAAAAATATACAGTTGTGGGTAGGCTAAAATAAGGAAATGCAATGTAGTAAATACAAAAGAACCAATTGCAATCAACTAGGAAAAGGAAAGGCAGTCTATCAAGGATTAGATGGTATTTGAACATTCCCGTCTGGCGATGGAGATGTTGTTGACGTGATCTGAGAAGAGATTTTTAACCTTAACATATTTTCCACACGCACCCACCATGCAGCTAACCACAATGGCTTTATCTACGGTACACATAGTACTATTTGTTAGTTCTAAATTCTAATATGTTCATGTAAAAGAATCTGATCCACAAAATGTAGTACAACTACTTCTATAGGAAATTTTGGTTGCGTAGACAAAATCATTGAACTTAGGATAGTGTTATTCACACATTCATTTTTATTTCTTACACACTCTTTTTAATTTTTGGTCATTGGATAAGGATTGAAGAAGATTAATGACAAAAAATTAACAAAAATATGTAGAAGATAAAAATGAATGTATGAATAACACTTTCTCAAATTAAGCTAGTAAATTGGTAACCATCTTCCTAAATCTTGCATTGTGAAGCACAATAAAACATATGTAATTTCAACTTTTTTTTTCTGTGTGATTGCTATATATATATACACACACAGCGTTCTTTTTCCTTTCTAATCATGCGCGACTCGGTTAATCAGTATGAGAGTCATGGAGAGAGAGAGACCAGTCAAAGATTTGTGTCGTAATCATGAAAGATGTTAGCATGTCTTTACCCAAATGAAAATGATATTTTAAGGAAAGGAACTAAAGGTTCACTATAGAGAACAAAAAATGGTAAAGAAAAAGCAGTTTGGATGGCAGGAAAAATAAAAGGAAAATTATTAAAAAGAAAAAGAAGACTGTGAAGGTGTGTCAGGTATATTTGTTCAGATGATCAGGGGTCCCCCACCAAGTCATCAACTGTTGAATGATAAAAGATTAAAAGTGTTCTTTTCCCTTTGTGATAAAAAATAAAAAGAGATCATAATTGTCCAATGGCCCCATCAAACTCATCCATGGTAAAGCTGAAAATAAAAGAAAGAAAAAATATCCTCCAATTTGTTGTATGATCATGAGTTCTACTTCTTATACCGTAACAACTTGGTTTTTCCAGAGTTAATGTATCTCTTTAATTTAATAATATAAGTAAAATTATTTGTATGAAATATATTCATTGGCGTGTTACATCTTGATTTAATAATACAATGCTAAGAATATATATAATGCTATTTAGGTAAGAACGGTATAGTGGAAATAAAATCAATTATAAATAAGTCCTTATCCAACAAGAGGGCGTATGAGAAGATTAAACATGTGATCGTTTAACAGAGTCTCTGTTAATTATTACTTGTTTATTCATGTCGAAATACAATTGGATTAAAACTGAAAAGGATCATTTGATGCTGTGACTCATATATATCATTACTACTTTTATCTGTTCAATACAATGCATGAAGTACGTATGAACAGAATTGAATTGGGGTCCTTTTTTTTCGAGAAATATTATACTCTGGATAATATACTTGTGCCCTATTCATATACCATATGAATATTGTATAATTATGTTCCCATCTGATTTTCATGCTAAAATATTGTATTAATCCATTACGACCCACATCCATTACGACCCACCTCCTGGAAAAGTAGATCATCGTCATCAATCGTATGCTATACTAAAAGTACCAATACATGTATTGTTCATAGCTTTAGTTTTAGGGAAGACACTCTGTTATTTGTCGTTCAAGACATTACCGAGAATTGTATGCAAAGCGTTGTCCTATAAGAGAATATAGCTGCTATATTTAAAGTATATTTATCAACTTTATTTCTTGTCCTCTTTGATGTTTTTTATTCACGATTATCTTGATAGAGTTACCATATGATTTCTCTTCACTTAAGTGTGATTTAAACCTAGCTAAGAACTTCTATTGTCCCCTTCCTTTTTGTTCCATGTACTTTACATTATTCTCTAGTTTTTCAGATCGACTTCTTGTGCATTCTTTAACGTCAACTCGAAATTGGTGAATAAATCGTAAAACAAAAGGCCATAAAAAATGTTTAACCCTATTTATTAGGTTAATTGTTTTGTTTGGATCAATGGTAACATAATATTGTTTCAACGTGAAAGTTTACTGTGTAAGAATTTGAGTATGATTTGGTTTATTGTGGCCGGCTGTTTGGTTCAAATTTAATGCAGGAAGTATTGTAGGAAAATGTTTGGTTTAGTTTCAATTGAATAAGGATTGGAATGTAATTAACAAACCCTGTGAATACACTCATTATAGGACCATGATTACTTGTCAGTTTTTCTACTTGGATTCTAATAGGAGAGATAAGTACATGTATGTATGTGTGTGTGTGTGTGTGTGTGATGGCCTCTACTCTCACAAAACTACGTTTTTATATATTGAATCGAAAGCCTATTATCGATTAAGCATATCAGAGTTTTGACAGAGAGGACTGCCATTGAGCTCGATTATGGCTTCGTCTTCTACAAGTCCTGGATGTATGATTGTTGGTTCTTATCATTTTGTCGCTTAGGGCAATTATAGAGACTTCATAGTGTCATCATAGTGCCCATATAGAGCTTGTGCAGTGCATTTTAAAGCCTTTGTAGTTTTGATTAATATCGTGGTTTATTTGCTTAACCTTGGTCTTGTAATTGAGCGTGTTACTCTAACATACTCTACAAGGTTATTCTCATTGTTCTCCCTTTTCTTTTTAAAAAAGGGGACAATTGGTGGCAAACCACGGTTATCCACCTATTTCGGGGGCCGAAAAGACTCATAGAGACATTTCAGCCTCCCCTAGCCACATGTCTAGCTTCCACACCAGCAGCGGGTTTTGAACCTGAGACCTCCAGTTTTTAGTTTTAAGGAAACCTCGTAATTCGTCATTTACCACTGCATGTTCAGATTATGTTATCCATAAATCTCTTACCAAGATTGAATAGCATGAGTGGCAAAATTATAAAAGGCTAATCGATATATTACTAGAAGTTTTGAAATTTGAGGAGCTTCCCCCCCCCCCCCCTCTTCTCTCTTTTTTTTCCTTTCTTATCGCATGAATCGATCACTTGAACCAAAACCTTTAATTAGAGGGAGACATGGTTTTTTTGTTTGTTGAGTCGATTAGAGAGAGAAATAGTTGAACAAACATACTGCCTACGTTTATGATGATCTCCAGACCTCATCAAAGAGCTACTCTAATCCCAAATGTTCATAATCTAAGCCCTAATCTATACCTAGGTATGCAAAGAATATAAGAATGGATTGCAAAATAACCAAAAAAGCTGTGGAAAATGATAACGTCATTGATTAATGTATTCAATAGTACAATACATCAAATATTGTGTGTATAAAAGTAAATAGATCGATCGAGTAATGTATACAATAGGGTTTGTGATTGGAGAGGGATTATCAAATAGAAGAATAGCCTATTAGGGCATAGTATTGCGTGTTGTAGGGTATGGACGGTTGAGTGGCCCACGCAACCTTTTGAGGGGGCCTCTGTTTTTCGTTAGTTTGCGAGCAGACAAAAGCAGGGAAGCTTCTTATCCCTCCCTCAGCGTTTTCACACAAAACCTTACACATGGAATCTCTTCAAAAGCCAAGATCCAAATATCACCATCCTAATATAGTAATATTCCCTCTCTTTTCAACCCCACTTCACAGTCTTAACTACCAAAAAAACCATTCTCTCTTCTCTTGGATCTCATCAGTCGTGGAAACAGCAATATAAGTAATACTCGGGAAATCTAAGGGCAAATGTTAATTGTAGCTTTGATGCCAACAGTGGCCTATAAAGTCCATTGTCGCACAAGCCAAGCCAGTTTATTAGTTCAAGACCAGTGTTCTGCTCTCTCTCTCTCTCTCTCTCTCTCTCTCCGTGTGTTTGTCTTCATCTCTCTCACAGTCACACACTCGGAGAGTGCTAGCTGCAATGGCACCCATGAGTCTTCCTCCTGGATTTAGATTCCACCCAACAGATGAAGAGCTTGTTGCTTACTATCTGGATCGAAAAATCAATGGTCGGACCATTGAGCTAGAAATTATCCCAGAGGTCGACCTCTACAAATGTGAGCCATGGGATCTGCCTGGTAAGTATTTGATTTTGTTTCTTGCCTCGTGTAAATATATAATTCCAGTAATAATAATATGAATTTCAAGCGAAATTAATTAAGAAAGTTGAGGTTTTATCACAAAACCAATGGAAAATATATGGAATAGTCCAACCCTTATAAGTTCTTGTAAAGTCCCTCGATTTATCAACGTAGGATTCACACTCTCAACACTTGAATCCATTACAACAGGACTCCAGAAATCCTCTAACTGTGCGTAGAGTTTGACATATTCTGTTTACTGTAGATAAGTCGTTTCTTCCGAGCAAAGACATGGAGTGGTACTTCTATAGCCCGAGGGATAGGAAGTACCCCAACGGGTCGAGAACGAATAGGGCCACTCGAGCTGGGTACTGGAAAGCCACTGGAAAAGACAGGGCGGTGAGTAGTCAGAGGCGTGCTGTCGGCATGAAGAAGACATTGGTGTACTATAGAGGTAGAGCCCCTCATGGTATTAGAACCAACTGGGTTATGCATGAGTACCGGCTGGTCGATTCTGTGTGTGCCAATGCGTCATCATCTCTAAAGGTATATATAAGTATTGTAGCACATCACTGGTTGTATGGTTTAATATGCATATAATGACAATGAATAAGGGCTAGCTGCTTCACTGAATAAGATATATCAGTCTTGCACCCTTATAAATTAGGGTTTGGTGAGTTTTCCAAGAGAAAAAAGATTTTTAGGGTTTCTGATTTCTAGAGAAACTTTAATTATGTACAAATTATTGTAACTACCATAGAAGAATTATTGGTAAATTAGGGTTTCCAATAAAGATGTACATGAATCCAGTGCTTGACTGATATATTAAAGAGCACTTCCCAGTATGCACTTTAACTAGTGCACAAAGCAGTTAGCTAGGAACATTAATTGAATATGAACATCTTCCTGTATAAATATCATAAATATCATCATATACAGGTCATAGTTTACGGCATCATTTGTACATATGTAATGTCTTGGACTCGAATAAAAGCAAATTTCAATATCACTCTTTGTATTTTTTATTGCTTTAATTTCTTTCTTGTCCTTTAAAAGGAATTAGCTTATCAACATGATGATTAAAGACTCTTCAGTCTACACTTAGGTGTACTTGCTAATATCTTTTTCTAGACTTTAGCATCAGATATATTTCTGCTCTTTTTTTCTCTCTTCTTTCTGGATTTGCTTTTCAGTTCTTGTCCTTGTTATGCTTACATGTATATATGTAATTTTATCATGCCATGTTTAACTTTTTGGTTATTTTGAACTACCACAGGATTCTTACGCATTGTGCCGAGTGTTCAAGAAAACAATACAAATGCCCAAGAATAACAAAGAAGAAAAGCCAATTGGGATTAACAATGCAGACAAGGATTCAATCTGGGTCTCCAATGAACAATTGTTTGGGGAAGAAAATAGTGGCATTAATGAGGGAGCTTCAAGAGGGATTGAAACTGATCAAGATGAGAATTATTCCACCCATGGTTATCCCAAATTTCCATCTGACACCTCTTCTTCAGATCTCACTCAAGGCACACCTACTGAAAATGGCATAGCTGATGATTTACAAGCTACATTTGCTTCTGATGAAGCGAACAGTTCTGCTGATCTATACTCTTTTGGTGTCCACTGCTCCTCAGATCTAGTTCAGGTTTGTACTAAGTACCATGTACAATTTCATTTCTTTGGAACAATACATTTACGCGCTCATGATAGGAAGTGGTACAGTGGCATTAGTTGGGTCATAGGATAACAGGATCATATGATAATAGTCAGGGTCACTTGTTTTTAAACAGTCTATATATTATTATGTTATCAAACTATTAACTTAAACATTATATTTAAGCATACATGATCACATAATCAATGATTAAGATTAATAGTTTTGCAACCATACGCCTACATTTATAACAAAATAATATGCTCTTTTAAAGTCTTTTATAATCTTCCTGATATGATTGCTTCCTTTGCCAAGGCTACATTTTGGGAAATATTCTACTTTTGTAGATAGCTAATCTGCTTTACCTCTAAGGCTTCGTGTTCACACCCCCGTATATATATATATATATATATAAAATTATAAGTTGAAGCTACGTAAATGAATCATGATCATGGGCACATTCAAACACACGCAAACCCTACTATGATTGGTTGGATGTGGCCCACAAAAGAAGGCATTGGAGTTTTCTTTTGATCTTAAAGCAACAAAAGTTGCAAGTAATGAGTTTTATATCTTTTGCTAAAGCTTCATTCAAAAATCTTTATAGTAGACTGATCCAAATGGGCTTTCTTCATCAACTTCTATAACTTCTTTTGACTGACTCAAACGTCTTTCTTCCTAATTTTCCTCAGAAGTGCTCCTCTCCAACTTCTCTATCCCCAATGCCTTTTAGTTTTAGTCATCTCCCTAACAATTTGAGCGCTTCCCTATTTCTCTTTTTTGAAAGAAAAAAAAAGCTGTTTGAAATTGATTATGTATTAACTTTCCAGTAATTGCTTATATGAAATTCATTATATATATAATTTGTTTACAATAAACTTCGTCATGTTATTTTCCATATATACATGTCTACTTAATGTGTGTGTATGCACCAAAACACTAATTTATTGTATCCGCTTGCCAAATGATGCAGGAAACGTATATACCACACAATACGAGCGTATTGAATAGCTATCAATTTCCTTACCCACCCTTACAACTTGAAGACTTCCCGCAGATCAATTTAGCTGCAGAGACAAAAACAGCAAAGCCCGAAATCATCGACGAGTACATGTTGTACGACAAGTTCAAGGATTGCATGAATGGAACGTTTGAAGAGATCTTCTCTTTATGTTCCTCTCAAGACAACTCTGTGGCCCTCTCCATGCAAGACTAAGTACTATACATACTAACACTCACATTTTCATACTACAATTCATTCATACACAAAGGTAGAATTAAAATATTGTGTTCCACTTGCTAAATAACTAGCAATTGTGGAGATTTCGTATTGCCAGAAAATGAGATTATCATGATAAGGCTATATATAAAGTACTTCACAATGGAGAATGAAGTACTTTATATTATTCCCAGAGCATAAATTTTTTTTTTCTTACATAATTTTCCTTGTATTGGTTAATTCCCCCCTTTTGCATGTTGGTGTTGAATCGTGTTAGGTCAATTTTGGGAAGGGAAATGGATAAGCTGATTATTGTAACGGTATTATTTGGAAAGAAGAAGATTGTTGGAACAGTGTACGTGTCTCTCCATTGGAAAATGGTTACTATATTTACATGGATTATATACTTAAACTAAGTACTTAATTAAGTAACCAGTTAGATAATCATGGGGCATTGAGGGAGTGCGAAAGGTGCAGTTGCACAGGGCCTCAAATTTGAAGAGGCCCTCAAAAATTTTGTCACCTAATATTTGTATGTAATAATATTCTATATTTAAAATTGCTTTTGTTATGAAATAATGTTCTATATTCAAAAATTGATTTTGTTAGAACTTTAAAATCACATCTTAAATCTCATCTTACACCCCTTATAAGTGTAATTTTTTTTCTTTCTAAATACAAAAATTTAGAGTACAATAATACACCATAAAAGACGGTATTTTTTTATATTATTATATAATAATGTTACATATTCAATTGAAACTTTAAAGTTAGAGTTTTTGAAGTTTGTTTTCTTGTTTAGTTGTTTAAGATTGAACTGCTTTTGACTATTTAGTGAACGTTGTGTTTGTAGCTCTTTTTACTTATTATTAATGACATTTTTAAACTTGCAATCAGTGAGTGTTAAACTTTGTTTTGATTTAAGTGATTGTTTTCTAGTGTCAATACATTGTCCTACATTTTTTAAGACTTATCTTAAGGAGGGGCACTTTAATAAATTTCGCACAGGGCTCCCAAAATCTCAGAGACGGCTCTGACCATGAGACTTGGACAATTAACTCAAAGATGATGGTCGAGGTTTTGAACTGACTAGGAACCGTATAGTAATTCTGATACGATATTAGACCACTACTGAATCCAATTCGAAATGCATCTTTTAAGTTATGGAAGTGATCAACAGTATATTTAAAGTAACAGTTTACAAAAATTATGAAATCATTTCTCAAACAGTACAAACTACAACTATTTTAGACAACAGACTTCCAAAGCTTCCTGCCAATTCTGCATGTTTTTAATTTTTTAATTTTTTTTATTTTAATTTTAATTTTTTTATTTTAATTTTAATTTTTTTTATGGAAACTGATTAATATATTAAACCAGAGGAAAGCCACAAAGGGCAGAAAGCCAACAAGGGCAACCGAAATACAACTAGAAGTGAGAGAGGGGGTACAAACCGACACACCCAAAGCCTTGGCGTCAACCCAAACTCACAACCAAAAACTAACTCAGGGGCAAGGAAGGCCGTCTTTGTTTAGAATGCTTCATGATTTTCACTGCAAGTTTTTGTTTTGTAATGGAAACCATGAAGCATTTTATCATGGGGTGTGACGGTCCCGACTACAGAAGCAATGTTTATGTCTAAGACTACGCCATGTTTATGTCCAAGCTCGTATTACATATTTTTAACATATCATAACCTGAAGAATATGTTTGACCAAAAGAAAAAACCTTAAGAATATGAATATGTAAATCTTTCAAAGGAATTATTATAGGAAACATATGCATTGGGCCGCTGTAACAACCAAAATCTACCGGTGCATTAGAGAGAGGTCAACATGAGCAGTGTGATGAGGACCAATGTACATGTTGGGATTCATGACATTTATTTAGGAAGCCCAAGGGGCCATAATCTACATTATTGAAAAATGAATTTGCTTATAAAGAAAAATGGGTATATCTAATCATGGACAGCTGGTGCCTTTGAGTACTCCTTGAGAATTAGTTAGATTATTACAAAAAGTCAAGCTTGTTGTAAAATCGACTATGGGTGCAGTGGAATAAATGAAACAAGACACAAAATTTACGAGGTTCCTTTACAGTCAGTGTGACTGGAGTACGTCCTCGGGGCAGCAGTGGTGCTTTCATTATAATTTGAAATAATAGGAGTACAAAGATAACTCTCTCTATTATCTCCTCTCATCTTCCTCTATTTTTCTCTCTTCCTCTTCCTTCTCTCTCTTCCTCCTTCCTTCCTCTCTTTCCTTCCCGTGAACTCTCACATCCATCTATCCCTTTGTTGTGTTTCATAAGGCTTGTTTTTATACAAGTAAATCACATGCTAAATAGTGGAAGGGCAACTTGCCCATTATTTGAGTGGACATCCATTTCTACAACACTCCCCCTTGGATGGCCACAAGTCTTCGATTGACTCGTTAAAATCTTGATCTGTTTTGGATGCTCCCCCTGATGAGTATCTCCTCCTGATTTCAAATCATTTAGGTTGATCGTTGATTGTTCTGCTTTAGTCTCTTAGTAAGAAGAGTTGCTGAAAGAGTTGCTTTACTTGTTGTTAACTTTCCACAGGCTTTTTCTTGAACTGGGTTGTAGGACTTTCTGCTAGACTAGCATCCAAAGGTTTGAATTTACTCCTTTTATCTGGAGCGGAATTTGATTCAAGAGTAGTGAACACTTGATCTTGAATCAGACTTGTGATTTCTTCAAGGACCTTCAAGGCTTGATCTTGAATAAAATTGGACCATGAGGAACTTCATGTGGCAAGTGATCTTCAGTTTTGTCAGGGATGAATCAGCACGCGTTTGTTGCGCTTGTCTCCACATGCTTCAATGTATCATTTTCACTTTCTTTACTTGCTCCCCTTGCGTAAGTAGTATTTTCCCTGCTTTTCCCCCATGCATGTGTGGCATCTTCTTCGGCAGTATTTTCCCTCTGATGTCGGAGTGGAGTGCAACCCTTGCATTTGGATGGTTCATCACTTCTTGGTGACTGGAGACCCAGCTCCAACCGTTGAAGATGACTACTCGAGAGCAACACTAGGTAAGCAATCAGGAAATGTTCCAGGCAGTCGGTTCCTTATTGGGAGTTTGAGTGGAGGTTCCGACATATTGCTTTCTTTATCCTTGTCTTCGCAGGCAAGAACAAGGACAAAGGAAAGGACAGGGAGATTGCATGATATGAGATAATCTTGCTCTGGTCCCTGAAGATATGTGATAATCTTGCTCTGGTGTGACATGTTTGAAGAGGTATTCTCGGAGAGGAAGAAAACTGAGTATTTCGAGATGCTATGTTGAAGATGCATTCTCGGAGATGAGGAAGAGTTAGGTATTCTTGCAGTGTTGCGGGTCTGCCTTGTTATGGAGAACAGAGGTCGACATATATAGAGATTTCTCAATAGCAAGTGGTGGTGCTGTGCTTTTACTCTTGTCAGCAACTGTGGTGTAAATAGAACAGTAAGATTTACGCGTTTTCAACTTTGTCAGATATCTTTGACAAAGTTGCACGCGATATCTGAAAAAGCTGGGATTACGTCTGAAAAATGCCAACGAACTTTATTCAGGAAAATCTGGCTTTTGAAATTCGGAGAGCGGTGCCTCTTCGATCTTTGAACAAGTGGCTCTGCTGCCTCTTCTTTTATAGAGACATCAATTGTGTTCAAGAGTATGCTCAGAAAGTTGCTGCCTGTAGAAATTTCCTCTATCTTGCACTTCTGAAATTTTATTTGACCTTTGTTTTTCCTTCATCATTTCTGAAAAATGACTTGCCCATCTAACATTTGCTTAGATTTGAGTCTTAGGAGTGATACAGACGAGCAGCGTCATGATAATATATGGCGCCCGTCCTTCTTATCTTCTAATGGTCCTCTTACGGTTGGGGACTCTGTGATGAAGAATAACATAACCGCTACTGTGGTAGCTAGGAATCTTCTCACTCCAAGGGATAACAAGATCCTTTCAGAACGGTCTGAAGAGTCGGCCGTTCAAGACTCCTTGGCTCTCAGTGTTCAGTGTGCTGGCTCTGTGTCCAATATAGGCCAACGCCTACTTGCTCAAACTTGCCAAGTTGAATCATTGATGGCGGAGGTGGCAAGTCTTAAACAAGAGATCAGAGGGCTCAAGCACGAGAATAGGGTGTTACACGTGCTTGCAAATAGTTACTCTACGAGCATGAAAAGAAAGCTCGACCAACTGCAGGAATCTGAAAGTCGAATTCAAAGTGATCACCAGAGGTTCGTTGCTAGATTCCGAAAGCAACTGATGCCTTCCCCTTCTGGTGTTTTGCTAAGTACTAGGGTGCCACATGATCAATCTCCAGTGCCTCCCCATTTTGGGGTACTTCCGAGTACTGAGGCTTCACATGAGCAACCTTTGTGAAGGCTCCATCCTGTTTACTTGTTTTAACTCATGTGTATGTACATATCTGTAATTTCTTGGAGATGTTAATAAATAAGCTTTATTTCATTCAATGTATTGTGCCAAATACAATAAAGCATATACTTTACTAAGATGTGGTACTTCTGGACCAAGTATTAATTTATCTTTACCCTCACGAAGATAAATGATTATTCTTAGTGTCTTCATCATATGAGTATTCAACTCATAATCTTCAATCCATATGGTTCTTTTAATATCATAAATATCATGGATAAGATTCGTGTTGGTAGATTGTTCAATCTGCAGCTCGAGACAATAATTCCTTCAACACTTTATAATTTTTCTAGACTCTTCAGGAGTCCCAATTTAATATCATCAACTCTTCAAGAGTTCTAATTTAATGTCATTGACTCTTGCAAGAGATTTTAGTATGTTGCAACAATATCATACTGATAGTACTCACTAAGGCAATTTATATCATCCATTGATATTGAGTATATATTTTATGCTTTACCCTTCAGGGGCTTACTTCAAGATTTTGAATCCTTCAAGGATTTTCTACACTTCATGACACATTTTCCTTTGGAATTCATACAGAGCAATTTGCTCCCATGTATACTTGAGG